ACATCTGCGGAACCGAGCTCTTGCACAGCGGAGCCACCAGCTCGGTATCCTCCTGCAGCGTCAAAGTCTGCTGCAGCTGCTGTGCCACCTGTCAAAACCCTTCCATTGTTCTTTTTGGCCGACTAGAAAGCTCATCGCAGGGTCCCCTCCCCGGACGTGGTCCCCCGCAAACCAGGGACTTGGTTCGCTCTGCGAGGGGCAATCGATCCGGTGTCCACAAGGAACTTGCGACCAGGGCGATCCTGGCGAACCCTGCCGGATCCGGACGTGAGCAACGAAGACATGACTTGCGAGACACGGAGCTTCCTCCAACCCTTGCGAGCCGACGGTCTGGGTGAGATCCGCCTGGTCTGGGCCTCATCAAACCACCAGCGGTGCTGGGTGGAAATCTGGCGCGGATCTGCCCAACAAAAGGGTTTCCTGGCCACCAAGAGGTGCCACGCCGGACTCGGTCGTCCAACTCAACCAACGACGAACACCACCGCAGAACGAACCACATGGCCGTTGTGGAAGGGCCCGGTGAAGGCGGCAGGAAGGCCCAGGATCCTAAGGTGTGGTATCATGGCAACATCCGCCAGGTAAGAAGTCCTTGTTTCCAACCTTCCAACCTCTTCAAAAAGCTTCTAACTGAAAGGCTGAAAAGAGGCAAAAAAATGTGAACCTCAACCAGAAAAACAATTTGTCAAAAGACCTAGTAATCCATCACAAGAAAGCACACCGCTCGCTGCGCGCCACTCACCGTCACGCTGGTCCGCGCACGCGCGCGCGCGCACGCGGAAGAAGCCGCGGTGCCTTGGACTTGGCGGGGACCAGGCACCAGGCCTTGAAGGAATCCCCGAAGTAATCGAAGTCCTGCACCGCAAAGTCCTGCAACGACGCTGATCACGGCGACCACAGGGATCGAGACATGCGGTTTTTGTGTGCTTTTTGGTTTTGTTATATTTTACCTCTCTCTTTCTCTCTTCTTTTTGGGGGAAACAGGCTGAAAACGGGGGGACGGTTTCCTCGGGCACCCTCATTCTTCTTTCTTTGTATGTGTTATTGATTTATTACTTTTTTCTTTCAACCTTTTACGGTGTTTTGCCTTGAACCGGTGTTAGTGTCATTTGGAGACGCGGTCGATCTACCCAACGGCGCGCTTACACGTCTCCGGCGCAAGCATCACCGTGTGATCCAACGACTGCCCCTCCTTGGGGTTTTCGCTGTCAAGGAGCCCACGGAACCGGTGTCCACCATGCATCCAAACCATGCTCACGACATGCGGAACGAATGCCACGACACGTCACCATGCCACAACACCATGGCCACACCTCCAGCAGATCCGCCTCCCACCCGGTGATGGGACCCTTATTGAGTTCAACCCTTCCCTTGAAAGATCCACCCGCGCGCGAGGCAGCCGTGGAGACCCCGTCCCCCAGCTGGAACATGCCGAAGTCCATCTCGCTGCCGCCCTTGTCGTAGCCTCGTTCCGGCGACGTTCCGGCGGCTGCTGGTCTCACACCCTGAAGGTCGGCCGACCGGGGGCCACGGGGTGTTGTCTGGTGGCAAAAGAGACACACCAACGGCTACAGGGGAGAAAGAAGCATCATTCGCACAACAGAATATCAACAGATCATGAGGAGAGTACATGAGAGTACAAGAGAAAGGACATGGTTTGGACACTCTTTCCTCTCGCGAATTGAAGATCTACGGCTCTACCCCGCGTCGTGCAACGCTGACAACCGCAGTTCGGTCCGGAACCCAAGACACCGAGACCACGTCCGCCGGGGTGGGACTTCGCCAGTGGGGCCAGTGGGGTGCGACAAAGAAAGACCCAGAGGTAAGTGGCAGTTTTCTATCTCAATCTAGCTACTTTCACCCCTTCAGAAGGTTCATCAGCCCAAGAAAGAGGTGTGTCCACCACTGTGTCCACCATGGGGTGCGCTCGCCTTGCCGAACGAACACACCCCGCTCGTCTCGTCTCGTCTCGTCAGATCCGACGCCCCGACGGACGTGGAACTCGAAGAAGTTCACGCCGTTCAGCAGCTTGGAGCCTGAAGAACAGGTGTGAATGGAGCTGAGTCCAAGAGAGGTGGAGCCTTCGAACAGGTGTTGGAAACGATGAGCTGGGTGAGGTGAGTGACTTCCATCCTCTGAAACTGTCTAAAGACGATCTTTTTCCAACCCAGGCATGATGTCCGAGGTGTTCTTCAGCGCGGTCTACATACAGGGTGGTGGCACCCTTGTAGAATGCTTGGTTAAAAGCTGTGTTGCTTTTTGCGATGGTCTCAAGACCCTGCGTCGCTTCGCGCCACCACGTCGCTCCCCAGTTTCTCTGACTTCCTGGCCTTGTGCCATTTGCAGCACGTCCCGGAGGTCCTTCTCCACCTGTGCTGTGGCACGCGGATTGACTCATGGAGAGAGCGGAGTCGGATCTTTGGGCACGTGCGATTGGGTCCGGGTAGTCTTGAAACGGTGTTGGTGGAGATTTTTGTGAGGGACTCCTTGAAATTGAAATGACCAGTAAACAACACCTGAATGCAATTTACTAAGCTTCTTCTTGGCCGCTTTTGTGTGAACATGCCCATAGACTGAGCTTTCCCTGATCGGGTTCAAGGCCTGTGCCTTTTCCTTCAGCCACACTGGAAGGGTGGGACCATGATGCGGTCGTTTTTGCTTCTCTTTCTTCGTTCCAGTGGCCCATCTGGACCAAAAGCTTCCAGCCAAAGCCGCATTCTTCACGGAGCCAAAGCCCCCCCCAAAAGACCCACAGCACATCCTCACAAAACTCCATCCCCAATCCACCCTCCAGTCTGCCATCTTCACTGCCCAGCGCACGTCACCATGGGGGTTGTGATACTCCTGGGGCGATCGCAGCAGCAAGAGCCCATGCGATCGGTTCGATCGGAGCTCGGCGGAGCGGAGGACGGAGCTGCGTGGAGCTTCCTGTCAGGGTGTCGATCCACAAGTAGTATGGGGGCTCAAAGGCGCCAGGTGACCCCGTACCCACAAACACCCAAGTGCAGTTGCCCGGTTGCCCCTGTTCGTCAGGTGGCTCAAAACCATCACAAGCACCCAACGTCTACATCTACTCCAGTCAAATCCTGCCAGGCACGGCAACTGACAGCTACTTCAGCAGGTCGAGGGGAGCATGATTGGCCAAAGGCCTGGGTGAAATCAATTCTCGAAAAAAACATGTCCAATGGATTTCAATGGAACCATTGATGTATCACCACCTTACATACCGACTTGATCTTAGAAGCCTATGGATCCAATTGTGCCTTTGCCAAACGGAGAGCTTGTGGAAAAGCCCTTGGAAGGCGAGATAGACACGCCTTTTTCTTCCGTGAACGGAACAACCAAACGCTCCAAACAACCAATTTCACCTCGGTGCGAAAAAGGGAACCTGTTGCCAGCGACATCTGAACGCAACTACCAGCGAAATCCACACCCCTTCTAGATGGGTCTTAGATTGCTGGGATGGTATGATGGAAACATCTGTCGACCATCGGCGCTGCTGAACTGCTGCCGTCTCCTGAATCATCACCGGCGTGTGGGGGAACTCCTTCTCGTACCTGGACACCGTTCGGGGCTCGTAATTTTCGGCTTTGTGCGTTGATCCGGTGTACGTTCGGTTCTGCCAAGAATCATCATCATAGTGGAAGTTGACAAGGAGCCTCACGTCATACTGTGATGGAATCCAAGGTAATTTTGTTGGTTTCAGATACTCCCTAACCCGTACCAGACTCCCTACCAGCCATACCATGCTTCGCCGCATGGCTTCGGGCACTTGCTGAGGAACATCTCTTGGAGATGAAAGGCCTCAGCCGTTGCCACCCGAACCCCCACCTGAACGGTCGGAAGATCTGACCCACCGGGTCGCCTGGAACCCTGGAACCGGTTCCAACTGGATGATCTGATTTCGCTTCAGCAGATCCTAGCTGGCCCAGTTTTTCCTTGGAAGCTGGCCCGAACCACTGATCTCTCCTCACTGGAGGTTCGCTCCACTTCATCCCCATCCGCTCTGCTTTTCTTTCCCAATCTCCGCTTTTCTTCGCGCGTGTCCGACCGTGCTTCTCTCCCTCTGTGTGGAGGTACCAGCCGGATGGGCGGAACAACATGGCAAACCCACGGAAGGGACGGAGTGGAAGCTTTTCAGTCAGCCCATCTGAGCCCTCATGAAGCTTGATGTCCCGATTTCTATGCTTGAAGCTGTATGCCAGGATCGGTTCTCCAGGTGGATGGTGGGGAACCACATGCAGCTTCAAGAACTGGAGGAAAGACACACATCTTCCTGCTTGTTGGGGGACTAAAGCTCGTGCTCTTCCACCACCGTGTACGGCGTCGGGCTCCAGGACGGACGCGGGAAAACCATGGACACCATGCAAGAACAAACGATGGAAGTAGCGTCCTTGTTCCCCAGTAGTAAGGCCAGGAGCCCCGAACGTAGCGTCCGATCGCTCCGTTCCTAGCGATGTCATGTTGGCTAGAGATGATACCAGTTGGAGAATCAGAGTTCCCCTCTAGTCCCAAACATTTTGACATTGGGAGATTTGGCGTCCAATACATTCCTATGACGCCAAAGACCATAAGAACGGTTCTTTTCCTAGTATGGGTCCGTTTCCTTGGGTGACTCTATCCGCAGTCTGGATGACACTTCTTCGCTTCTGGCTCCGGCTCATCAACAAACTTATGGAGCTTGCTCAACACCTGGACGAAAAGACAAGTCAGACCATACAAATGTTCCACCGAACACTCCACTCAAGAAGGCAGAAAGCTTGACTTCGGTCCAAACCCCCCCAAAGCACCAAGAATGCTCCAAACCCACTCGTGCCGTCCATGCTCGACCCACGACATCGAGCGGGCCGTTCGGATCCAGCGGGTCGCGCCACGGCCACGGCGGCCTTCCGCCTTCCGCCTTCCTTCGGGCACACCGGCTTCCAACAAACTCTGCCGTTTTGGGCCGTTGGGGGTGGCGGTTCCTTTCGTTCACATGGTGAAGCCCATACTACTAATAGATACCCCATGACGCCCGCGAAGGGCGGAAGACTGTCTTGGGAGGGGCACGGCGGGGCACGGCGTGACCGGTCCAGGAATGCTCCGACCACCGCGCTTAAACATCGCCCACCAGCTTCAGCGTCTCACAGACCTGAGCGGATCGCCGGGAGCGAGCCACCGATTCCCAAGCGTTGAACACCGGCGAGCGGTGTTGGAAGGAACCGAAGGTCGTGGGGTGGGGAGGTGTGGGTTGAGTTCCGGACATGACACCAACCACATGAGTTGCGGTTTAGAAGAAGCATGGGTGGTACTTGATTGGGGGGGGCCCTCGTCGCTGTTGCGATCGGTTTCTCTTTCCAAGCTCAATCTTTAGAGAGGATTGGTGTCTACCATGACCCTCCAACAGGCTGGTTTGGGACACTCACAGGTGGTTTCTGGGCACCTGTTGTCACCAGGAAACACGGAGGGTGCTGGCACCAATGGTATATGTTCAACAAACAGAAATGAGAACACATCGGTCCTGCAAGAGGCTTCTTGGTGGGGAAGTACAGCATGGGTGCTCACCTTTGCATCAACTGACCCAACTTTCTAGGCTTTCAACCTACAATGCCCCGCCTCGAACCCGTTCACTCCTCTACCAGGACCTCAAGCCTTCAGACCACTACAATCCACCGAAGAGGAAGCGAGCCCCGACCTCCAACTCTCCGACCACTTGGGCCCTCCCTCAAAGCACTCGACCTCCAAATGAACCCCTCAAAAGCCCGCCCCTCAGGTCCGTCGACTCCAAAAACCACCGAACACCACCACCGCCCTAAAAACCACCCCCAACAAAATACACCGAATGAAGCGCCACCCCCGGCACTGGAGCCAGCTCCGGCAGGTCCAGGGCCCCCGGTCCCTCCCGCCTCCGCGAAGGCGTCCGAGTCGGTGCTCGACTCGCTGGACTCCTGCGGCGCGGGACGCAGATTCGGGACCCCAAGGAGTGAACGAAAGGGAACAGGAACGTCGGGAATCCTGAAGGACCAAGCGAAGTAGTGGGATGTTATTTTTTGGGGGGGAATGAAGGTCGAAAGACACAAGGAGGGTGGGGAGAGGATGGGACAAAGCATGGGAAGAAACACAAGGCATTTGAACTGGCGTCCGACTCATTGGGTTCATTTGAACTGGAACTCCATGCAAACTCCCCTGAAATCAAACGAACGAACCATGCAAATCCATGGAAGTGGATGGCATGGTCCCTTAGACGTGACCACTTCCATTCTTATTTCAATCAGTACTAGACGTCCAGCGCCGTCCGTCCGTCGTGCTGTTCCAGCCATCCGCACCCGGACCCGTCCACGCCAGTTGGGTGCGCCTCGGCTTCGGCCAACTTCGCTCGGATGAGCTCCGCTGCCAAGGGCACGTGCCACCGGAGTCCGCTCCCCGTCCGCTCCAGCGCTTCCCGTACGGAGTCCACCTTCCTGCGACGCTGAACGGGCAGAACGGGCAGAAGGGGCTGTGACTGAGGGGAAAGAACCACATGGACCATAGAATGAAGCAAGAAGAGATGGAGTTGCTGGAGCTTGCAATGTCTCTCAGACTTTGTTCAGTCTTTTTGGAGGAATTGCAGTGGAGGGATATTTAGAGAGCTCTCTGGCAACACTGTATAGGGTTTTGCTTTGAACCGCCATGAAGAACGAGGGGGCACTTGGTTTGTTCAGCGATCCAAGTGCTGAGAGCCCCAGGGAGGGCGAATCCCCCTCTTCAATGAGAGCCCCAGTGGCCTCAGTTGCCTTCCAGGAACCGAAGCCAACTTGGTCGGTCTTAGGCCTCCTCTTCGGATTCGGCGCCCCCACACGTTGGACTGAAGGCGAAGGCGTGGGAACCCCGAGGGGCAACAACGCGCCACCCAAGCGCCACCGAGCCAGACAGCCCAGCAAACAGCCTTGTTGTTCGAACTCCTTCGAAGATGTTTAAATGACCCAACTCAGAACTGGAACTTCAAATGAATAACACGGACCCCAAACCATACTATCCCCGACATGTTGATTTTGAAGATTTGGTGTCCAATATTGTCCAAAAACCATTGAAAACAAGCTGCAAGAACAAACGATGGAAGTAGCGTCCTTGTTCCTAGTAGTAAGGCCAGGAGCCCCTAGTAGCGTCCGATCGCTCCTAGTAGCGATGCCATGTTGGCTAGAGTTGATACCAGTTGGAGAATCAGAGTTCCCCTGTAGTTCCCCACATTTTGACATTGGGAGATTTGGTGTCCAATACATTCGTACGACCCCAATGACCATAAAAACGGTTTTGACTTCGGTCCAACCCCCCCCAAAGCACCATGGCAATAGTCAAAACCCCAAACACCGGCGTCGGCCAGGAGTCCTCTTTCGGGGTGCGCCGTTCTCCGGTGTGTCTTCTCCTAGGAAGACCTTGCAATGGTCCTCCAACTTCCTTGGATGTTCCACCCGCAGTCGTCCCCGAGAGGCGGTTTCATGACAGAACAGCACCGGCTGCGTGCGGTCGACTGACCATGCACATGCTGTAAAGCATCGCTGTGGCACCTGGAAAACACCCCTTCCAGGCATAGTTCTACCCGGTTCTACCCGTGTGAAAAAAACCCAGGGCGTCCGTCTGTCGTCACCAAGCTGTTTGGAGGATGTTCAATGATTTTCTGCACGACCAGGGGTCAGCAGCACTCACCACAACCCCTCAACATCCTGTTCGATTGGTCTGTGGTCTCCTCCAGGCAAGGAGGACCGAACCTTCTTCGCCGAGGAAGCCAGGCGTGTTTCCCACTGAAAAAACGCTGAGAGTCTCTTACAACTTCACCATGGGACGAACCGGATACGCCACCCGCTGCCTCCCTTCCCTTCCCGCGTGTAGCGCAAGGAACCACTCGGGCTTCAGGTCTGCCAATGAGGACTCCAAGAGGAAGTCGTACATCGGCGGGATGAAAATGAAGCTCCGGAGGATCAACGGCCAGGAGAACAAGGGAATCCTGGGGAGAGGGAGGTGTCAAGGGGCTCAGCTTCGATCTGGCGGGAAGATCTTTGGGATCGTTCGCCAAGGAACGGGAGGGGAGGGAGGGGAGGGTCTGAGGGTCTGAGGGTTTGAGAGTCTTGGTATGTCTTGGTTGGGAAGTTTGGGGTTTTTTGCTTCTTTGGTCTCCCACGTTGACCAGAGATGGTCTGGACCACTGCAGTGACCAGGGGCCCTTTCGCTCCTTCGCTCGAACACACGATGCACGGCAATCAGCGGAGGCTTTCGGTTCCAGTTTCGGTGTGTGTGTTTTTCACGGCCTTTGGAGGCTAGATTTTTTGGTGCGATTTCAAGGTATCCAAACATGGGAGTGGAGAATTGACCCCTTGAAAGCTACTTTCTAAGAAATTGGGAGGTAGCACCACCAACTAGCGCACTCACCTTTCTCAAAAAATCCTCGCACACCAGTGACGGGGGCAGTGTTTCCAAGCCAAGGATCGCTTCAAAGACCACCAGCAAGAAGGTCCTCGCACGACGACCGCACGACCCTCGCACCGGCGGAGCACTGCGAAGCACCGAGACTCGACGGGCGACGGCTTCGGCTTTGGATCCTTTGACGGAGCACGGTCGAAGACGTCAGCATGGTACCGCCAAAGCGGTGACCCAATCGATGACAACGAAGAAAAAGGAGCGAGGGATGTTTCACAACACGGCGGAAATCCTCAAGGTGCTATATTTTGGACAACCCCCGCACCCACCAAGAAGGATTTGGCTCCCCAAATGCTTCAAGGACAATTGGTGCGCCATGTCGGAACGTCCCTAGGGAAACACCCCACCCCCCTTCTCAGACTCCCAAAACCTCGCTCAACAGATTGACGTCTCAGGCGCAGTGTGCCGTGAAAGTACCACTCCCAGCTTTCTTTCAGCTCATTGATGTCGGCCGCATCCTGCGCGTCGACGCGACGCGACCGACCCGAAGTGGGTTCTGGGTGGGTTCTACTGGTTGACCTCCCGGCTGGGCAAAGCCAGGAGCTGTTGCACCCCGGCATTCCATGAGAGGCCAGGTCAGTGGGGCTTTTGATCCCAGGTCAGTGGGGATCAATCTTTAAGGGACGCGGAGCCCGGCGGAGCGCGGCCAAAAAAACCCCGCGCGGCGCGATCTTCTGATGTCCCAGTTCTCAATGGTCTTCTTTCGACCGTGGAGCCATGACGATATGAGGCAAGTGGAGCCTGTGGTCGATCTGCTTACGCCGATCTCGGTCTTCGACGACCGGCCTTCAACAAGGTGTCAACGAGATACTTGGTCGAGACGATGGCCGAGAGCTGCGTGAACATGGCGATGAGGCAAACGAGGACCATGAGAATCGTCTGGAGCCACCCACACTTTCTCTTCTTTCCACGTCCTGAGCGGGGCAGATGAGCAACGCTTTCTTCTGCTTTCGACTTCATCTTCCTCCTCAAAGGACACAGGATGGTCTTTGGAGTTGGTCTTTCCCGGAACCTCTATGACTCTACGGTCTGCTGTTTCTGGAGAACTTCCTTCGAACTGAATCCTCGCGTCGTGACGGTCGTTGACCTGACTCCCAGCACGTGAGGGTCGTTGGTTCGAAGAACGAGGGCCTTCCGGGGCAAGCTGGGTTGGTGTCGATGTCCGCACCACTGATGTTTTAGACTAAGGGAAGACAGCAGACTTACGCACTCATATTCGGTGAGTCCAAACCCAACCTCGATTCAGAGATGGTCAAAAACTCCGGTCGGCTTTTGAAAGAAACATCTGTGCTTTAGCCCTTAGAAAAAAAATCAAATTCGTGGGGTGGAGTGTGGATGAAGAAGGAGGAGCTGTTCCTCGATGGTGCGAATGTGTTCGCATGTCTTGAATCTGAAAGCAGCCGATGTCCCTTAATCTGAGGTCTGACAGAAGGGACCATAAGACGTTGGAGAACCGTGGATTTACCAAACCGGCAGTATCCAAAACCTGAGCCAGGTAAATGGTCGTCTTTCTTGGGGTTAGGAAGATTCAGAGAACAGCTGCACACGTGAATTCGATCTAGTCACTAGTCCTCTATCATCAAATCCACAATGGCAGTGCTCCCTCCTCTTGCCATCATGTGTCGCTGGATCAGCAATGGCACAAGTCCCGTCCAGCGGTATAGGCCCAACAAAGCCAGGATCACAGGCACCGGCACCGCTAGGAAGTAGGTCGCATACTTCATCCCCGCCTGGTCCCAAGCGGGGTGGATCAATCAAAGACGGAGGGATTCCGTCACAGCCGATTCACTCAATTCCGAGCGATTCGACATGGCCACCCACCCAAAGCGACGCAAGCGACGCCGCTGGTGTTGGGCGCTTTGGATTTCTGGGCGATGGTCTGGCCCGCCCAATGGACATTCCTTTTGTTTTGGGGCGAGTTTCGCTTGGCCCAAAGCAAGGCTGCAAAAACTTGAGTGGTGCTCGCACCTCAGTGCGACAAAAACCCAGAGCTGCTGTGCTGTCTTCCTTCCGGTGACATCCGGTGCCGTGCTTTTTCCTCACCAAGCCGGGACCCGTCGCACCTCGAGGCTGCCAATGGAGTCCACCTGTCGCTGCACGTGCACCCACCTTTTGTTTAGGTTTGTACATGATTTCATACCCATACACTCCATGGGACTGCCATAGATGTACATTGGGGTGGTGCCAGGGGGGCCAATGGGGCGGCAGTCCTATGGCAGTCCGCATCATCCAACCTCAAAATCACCACCGTCCCAACTGACAGGACACTGCCCCCCCACCGGGCCGTTTCGGCCTGGGTCTTCACGGCCTCGCTGAGGAGGCGGCGGAACAAGGGGCCGATGGTGAAGGGGCCGATGACCAAGAGCTGCGTCAAGAGCCACAGCAAGGTAGCAATACCTTGGAAGACTCAGGCGAGACGAAGCGCACTCGGGTCACGGTTCTGTGGCGAGTCTTACTGGCACAAAGACCTGAGGTTTTTCACACCCTAAATCCTAAACCCTCCCTCATTCCCCACCCAAACTGGCCATGTTCTGGGCACCAAAACCTGCCCAGGCCACGTGTGCCAAGTGCCAACAGCCGGAAGTCGCCGAAGCTCACGGGGGGACTCTCCGCGTCCGACACCCCTCGGCGCGGGCGAAGGCGCCGGGGCCAAAGGGACCGACTGTGGTGGATCAGGAGCCGGTTTCGAAGCGCAACCGAATACGAAGGAACACCAGGAGGGAGTCATGATCAGTGGCACTCCTTTTAACAATTTTTGGATCTGAAGTCTCGTTTTTCATCGGGTTCCAGTCGCTGAGGCCCCTTTGTCGTTCTGTTGAACACCTCTGGGCACGAAAAACACCAACTACCTACCTAGTCTGCTTCGACTCTCTTCGTGTCACATCCCTCTGGGAACCAAAGGCACCCTTCTCCCTATCAAAACGGAGTCAACGATGCTCGTTTCGTCTTCGTTTCTGGGTCCGCTCCTTTCGCCTTCTCCGCCCCACGAGGTCCCGGGCTCCGAGCCGCCACCGCTGTCCCACCGAGCCGCCGGGGTCGCCGTGCAGCGTGAGAATCAACAACGAGTCCGTGGGCGCGTCGATGGACCTCCGCACCACCCTGCGGTCCGCGGCCGCTGGGACCGCGCGTCCGCGTGGCGCGCGCACCGATCCAAGTGGTGGAAAGGCGAAGTGGTGTAAGGCCCTCCATTTTAAGGTCCAGGACCGTTCTCTTCTCCATGGGTTGACCCTCCAAAACCCCATATTACAGGAACAGTCTTTTTTGAGTCCAACTGATGCATCGGAGTGGCCCATGTGAAGGACCTGCTTCAGGAAGACCTCTGTAGATCAATTTTGTGAGTTTGTTGAAGAAATGGATCAATGTATTGTCACGCCCTGGCATGCCTAGCACCTCGTCCCCTTTCACTGTTTGCAAGTGAGTCCACGTGGTAGAGGAAACTCGAGTTTCTGTCCTGCTTTTTGGTGGTTATCTGGCCTGAAAAGGATATGTCAAAACAGAGCTGTGAGCAGTCCGCATACCCTTGTAGACTTGTAGTTCTCATGTGGCTTCACCAAGAATCACTCAAGGGTGCCCAGTGCCCATTCTCACTGTCTTGAATGGTCATGCTCCAAACCCACCTCATCGGCGCAACCGCCTCTTGCCAAATGATGACTGAACGACACACCCGAACGACACAGCCGGCCTGAAAGGGACGTGATAAAGCACAGCATACCTGAGACATAAAGCACAAACTTCGCGGATTCTTTGAGAAGGAACAAGTGCTTCGACCCGGTGCATGAAGCATCTTCCAAAAACCAATGAAAGGAAGGAATGAAACATCACTTCAGCACAGGTTGGACTCTGCCCGCGTGCCCAGGACAAACCCTAGCAGGTCGAGCCCCCAGGAGTGAACTGAATGAAGTACCAGACCTTGTCAACCAATGCCATGGCCTAGCTGGGGGTGGTAGCTGCGGGTGGTAGCTGCTTTGGTGCAACTCAGTCACAAGTAATCTCCATGTGCGATGGACAACTTCAAATTTTCCAGTTTTGTCACCGTGGCCTTCCAGAGCAAAAAGGGTGGCACCAGCGCTAGTAACATGCTCCTCAGGCGCGAACTGGCACACAAAGCGCACAAAGACACTTTAAACAATAAGAAAATGCATGTGTTTACACCTGGGAAATTTGCAGACTTCAGCAGCATGACTCATGGCATTGTCAGCTCACACGCGATTCCACGAAGGCTTTAAATAGTCAAAACGCAAGTGGAAGTCGAGGGCGTGTGCTTTGCGAGGTGTGGGTGAGGGCCAGACATGTCAACGCGAAGGGGTCCGGGTCTACGAGAGCACTGAGCAAAGGAACGAGCAATGAGCCAAGGAATCCCGTTGGCGTGTGCTTCGGTTGTGCATATGGCATGCGGGCCTGGTGCCGAGTCCCATGTGCCTCGAGTGATCCAGCTCGCAGAAGTGCTCAAGCGACTCGGATCAGACGAAATCTCTCCGGCACAAGTGCTTAAAATATGCGAACCGATTCCATCTGGATATCTCAAGGCGCATACAAGGCCAGCCCGGGTTTGCAACTCTTATCATACATGTGCAGCTGTCTGGCTGTCTGTGCGACCTGCTGCTCCAATCTCTGAATGCAAGGACGCTCAGTGCTCTCCTTCTCCCGTCTCGTAGCGCCTTCACACACATCAGTGTCCCAAGGACGTGAACAGCAGCACGCCGGGGTCAGAGCGTAGCGCTTCGGCCACTTGCATGAAAAGAGCGTAGCGCAACAGCTGGTGCCGAAGCACCTGGCGCAGACCTGGCATCTTGATGTAGGGGCAAGACGGGGCAGGACGTTTGCAAGATGTTCTCTTCCAGCAACACCCCCATGCGCGGCTTGCCTGATCCCGAAGACTGAGAACCCCAGCTGAGCTGTGAAATTGTTCTCCCCCAGCTGCCCACGCGCCGTGTCTGCCCAGTCGCCGTGTCTGCCCAGTCGCCTTGCGATACCTCATGGCTCCTCTTTTCACAGACAGCACGCCAGATGCTCTTCACAAGCAGCACGGACAGTACTAGTATCCATATGGTAATACGCACATACTCGAGGCATCTGCGCTTGCGCATAGGTGAAGATATGTGAAGATTCTGTTCTGCATGGTAGGAGGAACAGTCTGCAAATAGATCGGCCACCAGCATGTCGGGCTCATTGGCCTTGGCCAAACACTGATGTAACAAGAGTTGCTGTGGCCCTTTGCCCTCGGAATTCGCAAGCGGATTAGAAGCGAGGCATGCACGGGAGCGGATGATGCCAATTTGAATGGAGGCTTCTCCTGCTCCAGAACTACTGCACAAAGTGGGAATCCTTGCATATCAATCATGTGCGCACATGATTGATATGCAATAGGGACAGACCTTCTACAGCTCCAACACAACGTGACATGTCAAAGGAAACCGCCCCTTTGGTTGCTTCGCTTCAAGGTCTTGCTTGCAAGAACACCTCAGCCGTTTCAAACAAGTGAGGAACCGTTCTTTTCAATGGTTGGTTCTTGATAAAACATACCCAATGCTTGTGAGCCACCCAAAGCGGCTGTCGCAACAAACCCAGCCAAGCGTCAAGGTCCCAAGTCGATAGTAGCAGGTCACCTGGGAGGCTTCGTCCTGCGGGCTATTCTTGGCGAAGCGGATTCTAGATGGAGATCCTTCTGGTGGAGGTGAGATGAGGCAAGAAAAACGTCCAACCTGCAGTTGTTTTGTTGGTTCATGTTGCTTTCGAACCTCATGGGAAACTGGGGTCCGGGAAAATGCAAAGACCGCATTTTCAATGAGGTCTTTAAACAGTTTTACTTAGGTCCGACTGGACTGGTAGGGCACCGTCGAAAAAGAACAGGCTCTCGTGCACCGAAAAAGAGGATTGGAGTCTCTGGAGGTCATTCAGAGCTGCTGTGGCGGAGGACTTCATTGCAAAGGCTCAGACCTTCAACCTCGCTTCTGAAAGCATTGCTTCAAGAGAGGACGTAAGTGAATCAAAACGTACAGTACCCGGACGAAGCCGAACTCATGAATTCGCCTCAACATGTTGCCGAAAAAACCCAAAGGCTTGAATAGAAGCTATACTAGGTTGGAGGCCATCGCAACTAGCGACAATCCAGCTTTCTAGTAACAACTTGAACGCCCACGGCGCGCCCGGAACCGCGGTTTTCGGAGACGCGTCTCTTCACCGGACCCCGTGCCGGTTCGTCCCGCCCTCCGACCCGCCGACCCCCGCCTCGGCCAGGAAGACCTTCACCGCGGAGGAGCCCCACAGGAAGGACGCCGTGCAGGCGGTGGCTTGCGCCGCAAAGGCGGCCAAGCCGATGGACAACGTCCATTTCCTCGGGCAACGGGCGGAACCGGGGACGAGTCGAAGCGGGACCGGTCGGGCTGGTTTCGCGTCTGGATGATGAACAGGGGGAATGAAAGGGATGAATGAGTAGCAGTCGCAGCGCGCATCGATCACTGGTTCAGACATGGCTCTTTCTTAGGCTTTGAGTAGGTTAGGAGTCGTGTCAGCCATGCATGCCCATGTTTTTCTTGAAAGGACTGTGGGGATGAAGGGATTCCAAGTTGCAGACGGACTCAGCGGGGCGGATGTCTGAACACTCTCTGTCTCAAGTCATGAGCGGACAGCGCAAGGATCTTAAGCCTGTCTCAAGACATCCTCATGAAACCTTTGTTCCTCCTAGCTCAACAGAAATGGCGACCTTTCCAGATTAAACTTTAAAGACTTGTAAGGTCATGGCCTCTCAGCTTCGATTCCACACCCCCAGACCGGACCAGACCCTCAAGCCCAGCATCTCAGGACAGCCATAGAGCAAGGCCCAGTCGTGGGCGATGCACAAGATGGTCCAAATGATGATGGTCACCAGGTAGAAAACTCGCCAAAAGGACGTCTTTTTCGGAGAGTAGAGAGGGGACCGCAAAGAAGTGGAATCGATTAGGGCTTTGCATCTTGCAAAAGACGTGTCTTCTGCTCCGACACTTGGACTCACTCACTCATCTCTTGATCCACTCATCCTATCTCAGCATGATCCATGGCTGGTAGTCCTTTCTGATTTCTTCGCGAACAAACCTTTTCCATCCTTTTCCTTTTGTTTTGACTTTTTGATACAGTGACTCTTTTTGGGAACAAGGATGACAAGGCATCAGTTGGAAGAGGAACATCCCGAATTCCTAAGCACCCGGACTGGCGACCTGGCGAATCTCGTCCAACGTCAACCCCTCCCGAAGCAAGGGATGACACCGCTGCCTTCCAAAAAGGCGCGCTTTTGCACCAAAAAAACCACCAACAAACAAACAAACACACACACACATCGCTCCATCCGCCGCACCTCACCCGGTCGTTCCAATCAAAACCGCCCGGTGTGTCTTCGTCTCGTCTTGTTCTCGTTTCCGCCTCGGGATGGGCCATGATCCAAGTGTTTATGCAGCTTCTTCCTGCGAACGTGCATGCAGGACCACCGTCAACGACCCCACCGAGGAAAGAACGGTGCGTGGCCGTCCGGAAGTGACGGCGGGGAAGTGCTTCGACGGTGGGAAGTGCCGTCGCCGTCTCTGTCGCCGGACCCGTTGGACCCTCAAAGCCGACGTGACTGTTTTGGGCTCCGGATCCTTTGGGCCTCTGAAAACATCCATAAAACATCTGGGGTATGCCTGCGACGTTCTTTGCCCCTACCATCCTACCATCGCCCGATCACTGCGCCGAGCTTCGCTTTGATGCTGTCCTGGGCTGCGCTCGACCAAACAGCTCGTTCGTGGCACCCTTTTTAGTGCTGAAATTCTTCGAAACTGCCCGTCTGCTCCGTGTGTTTTCGTTGTTTTTTAGTGGGCAACATCTGCTCGTCTTGTGAGGAACGTCGGTCACGACAAAAAACTAAACGACAGTAACAGTATATAAGGTCCGCAAAGCATGGTAGGAGTAGGATAGACATGTTGATGGATGAGAAAGCATTAAAAAACATTTCGACATATCTACAAACACGACCAGATGACACATCTTCAGATGAAGTTATCTTCATTTCTGGGATTCGTTCATGCAGAGGGAAGTGTAAGAAGCGCACCGCTTCTCTACCGCTTTTGGGGGGGCCACGACGACCGACTCTCACGTGTTCGATGACTCTCATGGTTTGGGCGAAACCAGGGACCATCAGAGAGTGTGCATGTTGCATATCTTACCCTGGTTTCGGGCGATTGAAACAGCTGGAAGTTTTGTAGACGTATGAGAAGTACATCCATATTCATATATGTATATACACTTGCATCTATCCACCTAAATCTATCCCCCTACAGCTATACACCTGCATCTATAGATATACCCCAAAATGTACGCTGGCTGCACACCTACATCTATATATACACCTAAATCTGTAGACAAATATCTACACATCGTCTTAACACATGAATACGATGATGAATATGATTATGATGAGGAGGATGACGTTTCTCATGAAGGTCATGAGGAAGATGAACTTGGCAGCTGTTCTTCAAGGAGAACGGTGACAAGTCTCCAGGACTCCAAACGACCAAGTCCGGGTCGTGCTTTCCAATCGACGGACGCACTCCACAGTCCAGCAGCTTCGGGAAGTTCGAGAACGCAAGGTCGACGTGGTTCGTTGTGCTTGGTGTGTGTTGCGCGAAAAACCACATGGACACTGTGAGATCCACTGCTGTTCGCTTCGAAACAGCCTTTGGCAACAGTCGCCAAAAGGGCCACTCGGAATCCACTTGCACATGGCCCGGCCATGGCCATCAAAACCAGGTCTACCAGTTACATCCCGAACCGTGAAAAAGACACAAAAAGACACGGCGCCCCGAACTGTGAACAAAACACCAATTCCAACACGGCGCCCCGAACTCGGCGACCCGATTCCGATCTGCCGTTGGCGCCCCAAATCGTTCCTACCGACACTGGACCGTTCCTCTTTTCCACCGAGCTTCGCAAATGGTTTGGTTGGCCGCTTGGCTACTTGGGAACTGGTCCGTCGTGCCCCGTCGCACCATCGACGAGAAGAGAGCAGGATAGTAGGAGTAGAAGTAGGGCAGCCAGTTCCTCTGAAAGGGGATGACACGTACGATCGCTTCGGTGTCGAACGCGCCAGGGAGGTGGGTGCCTTCGACACGAAACGCACACCTCGATCGCTCAAAAAAAACACGAGACGTGCAATACGCATAGCCCTGAGTCTCAGGAGACATGAACAAGGTCCAAAAACCCAAGAGATGGAAAAGCTCAAGTCACTTGAGACCCTCAAGCCATTCCCTGACAAGTCCGTGAAAACCCAACATCTGATCTGTTCGGCCTCGAAGACTCGAACACTGTGTGAGGCTTGCGGCTTGCGGCTCATTCCTTTTCCTTCGAGCGACCTACTAGCGATGGCCGCCATGGGTCTTCTTCATCATTCTCGTTCAGTTCGTCAGCATGTGTCTTTTCACGAGGTGACACAATGGGTCATCACGACGAGTGGCAAGGAATACCAGGGGGAATCGTTGTCCCATGTGTGGTTGAAACATGTTGAAACGATTTTTTTGCAAGAGACATTGGCAAGGAGTGTGTGTGGTTCTGCAAAGAATGCCAGAGGCCAATTCCTGTCCACTCTTCTCAGTCTTGAGTTTGAAAGCTATGTTGATATCATGGCCACTGAATAGCTCTGAAAGAGACATGTTTCACAACTAGCGATGGCCTCCAACCTAGTAGCGAGCAAGAACGTGTCATGCCTTTCGGTGAAGTTGGAACCCCTGTGGTTCCGACTCCCAAGAAGGTGCGGCCCGCTGCGTTCGCCGTGTCCGACCAGGTCCAGAAGTTCGCGGTTTCAGCTCAGGTGCTGAAAGTAGAGGTGAGGCCCACGCGCCTGGCCGTGCAGGGCGGCTGAGGCTGGGAGCTCGTCGTCTTCCGATCCGATCAAAGAAGACGTGGATTTGCGGGGAAGAAGCGACTTGGACCCCGTGGATGTTCCGAGTGTTTCGTTTTCTTTTCTCCCCATCTCTGATGAGGAGCAGGTTCATTTCGGGTCTTCCCATTTTTTCGTCCATCTTCTTCCTCCTTTCAGGCGACGCCAGGCGTGGGGGGGGGGAGGATCAGCGTCCCGTGCGGAAGAAGGAGCGGTGCCGTGCGGAAGAGCGGTGCCGTGACCTGAAATGGAAGTCTTTCTTTTTGGTGGAAAACCTTGGCTTTCGATGGATGTGGCAACAAGCTTATGGTGTTTCATGGATGTAGGGGCCCAATGACATGGCCTGACAGAAACATCTGATGGACGGTGACAAGACGAAGGACAAGACGAAGGACAACCGATGATGACCAAAAAAGCTTCCAGATGGGTTGTCGCCGCTGTCGCCGTCATGTCCTTGGTGTCTGTGGGGTCCATATAGTGACTGTGAGTCAAAACCCGGAGCCCGGTGGTGGTCGTGTGTTCGGTCTGGCCCAGGGTCCTGGTGCCATGACCCACAGCCACGACACTTGGATTGCCCCTCAAACCAGCGCCTGTTGGTTTCTCTGTTTATTGTTGGTACCTTTGATAGGGCTCGAGTCGAGTCGAGCTGTGCCACCTTCGGGCCCTCACCGGGGCGGAAAGCTTGACCAAATGCGAAGGAGATGCAGCCTGACTGCGGCTGGACCCGACTTTTGGACCCGAAGCGGTCTATTCCCTTAGAAGTCCAGTTGGACGAGATTTTGACCGACTGGACGTAAAGGAAGGTTCCCGAACTCAGTTCCCCGTTCGTCAGACCATTCTCTTTATAGTCTGACCGACTCCCCGGAGATTTGAGTCTGATGGATTTTGTAAGACTGAACGCCCGAGTGAACGAGTTCCGCCTCCATCTTCCCTCCGTTCTGCACCGAGACGTAGACGGGAAAGACCCTGGGGATGTGCTTCTCATGGATCCAACCGCCACTCTTCTCCACGTTCTCCTTGGGCAGCATTTTGATGTTCAAGGCTTTTTCTGGCCAGTCAAGGTGTTTCTTTCCAATGTCCAAGAGCTCCTCCCAGAACATTTGTTCAGGAAGCTGATCTCAGCCCAACCACGTACAGATGGCAAGGTTGTGGCTAGGTTTCAATTTCTTGTGTAGGAACATTGGGAGGATGCATCTGGCCCAAATGATAACCAATCACCATCCCTCGGGGGCTGACGACCATGCTGGAGGAGCAAGCAGCACCAGCCGAGCCAGCCACAACAAAAGCCCTCGTTCCACTTCTTCTTGAAGTGGTGACACGTGGCTGGTTCTTTTGGGGAACTGTCCAAGGGTTGGTTACACATGTCTTAGAGTTGTCTTCAGGTCACTTCAAGGTCGCAAACCTTGCCACTGTGAGGGCGACTCCTTTTTGACTTCCAAGAAGTCCTTCTTTCGGATTTTTGGACTTCCCAACCTCCGGTCAACTGGAATCGCATCGGTATATCCCACCAGCCAAGGACTCTCACCAGCCAAGCCTATCCACCACCACCTTCGCCACCGTCCCACCGTCCTGGGGACCCTCCGTCGCCGGGCTGCAGGGAAGGTGGGAGGCAAATGTTTGTCGCAGTAGCCGATGAACTGAACGAAGGTGCAGCTCTCATCACCTGCAGGCATCGATTTTCCCAAAAAACACCAACAAGATAAAATGATGAGACGGAAGATGTTTGGAAAGGAGGGGGGCGGCTAGAGACGAGGGACTCAACCCAATGCACTAGCCCCAGATCTCGAGCCCTTTTCAATCCACCCTCCCATGCACTGCAAAGATGGCAGTCCCAAACAAAACAGGTCATGTCTGGGCCCAGGTTTCAATCAACATGTTTTTTGGAGCCACCCCCCGCATGTTCCATGTCTGGGCGGTGCCTGGGTTCCAAAGATTCGACATCCCGAACACCCCCCCGCCAGAAACCAGCGCCGTTCGTTGGCGTGCACCGAAGTCAGAAGAGGGGAGCTGTCCTCGGACATCGCCAATAACGCCAAATCCCTGAGTCAAGACTGGCCCAAAACCCCAAAAAACCTCGCGACCCATGCTCGTTCCAAAGCGAACAAAAACCACCGGGTCCTGAACTGACCTGACCTCCCACCAAAAATCACACGACCAAGTCGCAGGGCGTGAAGTCGGAGTCCTCGGACTTGGTGTCCACCACCGCGAAGAAGGGATACGCAAAGGCCACCGCCAGCACCGCGCAGTTCAGGTACCCCCACCAAGGGACCGGCGCCGTCGTCGCCGCGCAGCTCGTCCGCGCCGAGGCCGCCGCGCCGTTCGCCCGGTTCGGTTCGACGGAGGGCGGAAGAGCGGCCGCGGATCTCGCCGCTGCGCCTGGCAGGACGCTTTGCAGCACCCGGGGAAGCCCCCCGGGAGGAGCGTCCCCACAGTGGTGGGTGTGACGCGAAGAACGGCTTTGCGGTACCGTTTTGGCACGTAGCACAAGCTGCATATATATATATATATATAGCTAACCTCTTGTGCTTCCTCCCACCCCGCTTTAGAGGAATGGTGGACCCACCCAACCACACGGCTCTTGTTAGGCGAACGCTGCGCCTGACCATCCGTTCTCGCTCTCGTCGTTCACCCCGAAGGCCGGTGCCATGGCGGGTCACCGGACAGGTCGAGGGTCGGTGGACGAGGTCCCGGACCAGGTGGGTTCCCCCAGGTGCCCATCCACCGGAGGTGAACTCGAGGTTTAACCCAGACTTCGAAGATGGGTTTTCGTGGTTCCCAGACCAAAGGAGAACGGTCCGAGAGCAAAGAGGCGCGTCGGTCGGTACCGTCAGGTCCTTTTTCTGGGGCAACGGTGGGTGCCCTTCATGGCGCGATCGTGTCGGGCGGTAGCCAACCAAAAGGAGAGCCATTCATAAGAATGGGAACACACCTGGCTTTGTTAGGGTTAAAGCTCCTTACCAGGACCCTTGAAGGGGTGTCCTGGCTGGACTACTCCACACTACCTATAGGCTTCCATTGGGCACCCCTTAGAGGGTCCAGGTAGTAAAACCCTGGTTGTTCCGATTTTTTCAAAACCCTTAAATCCTGGGTGGGCGGTTGGAATCTTCGAAATATCTCTTCACCCTGGAAGTCCATGACCGACCTATATATAGTGTTGTAACTGTGACAACCCATCCGGTGGTTCAGTTCCAAACCCATGAGCATCATGATGTGATCGGGCCGAAGGTACTCGCCATCTTTGGGCGGGCTGGAGCCAGATCGGACAGATTCGTAGCGGTCCATGTCCGGCGAGGCGGACGGCATCCCCCGGTTTCGTGACGGGCGCCGGAGGGATGCCCAAACTGGCAGTTCAAATCAATTCAACCTTGATGTCATGTACCCCGCTAAGGATCCGCACCCTCAAAAACAAGGGTTTTGAGGGTACAAACCCTTGTTATAGAGGGTTCAACCCCTTCTAAGGAGGGTCCAAGGATCCTTAGGGCCTAATAATTTTACAACATCAGGTCGTTCCCATGGCTTTTCTCGAATGGTCGAACGGCGAGGGCGAGGGCGGATGACTTCACACCACTTAGGCCTTTCTCGCAGCTCGGTTTTTGCTGGGGCATCCAGGGACGGTTCACGCGGACGGCGACACGGGCTTCGGAACTCGGCTTTTGGTGTTTCGGGTGTCCCGTGGTGGCGAAGTCGGGCCCATTCGCGGGAACGGAGCGATGTCACAGGTGGAAGGATGGCTCAACCGGGTTCCCGGGTTACGGTCCCCGGGTTACGGTCCCGAAAAACGGGGGCTGAGACCACGAACACCGCGGCTTCTGGGTCTTTCGGGATGTCACTTTCCTCTAACTCACCTGTGAAACGTTGATGGCTCGAAGCCATCGGATCTGTGGATGCAAGTCAGGGTTCCTGCGAGTTCTGGGTCTGAGCCCCTGTAGAATGATCTCACACAGGGCGTTTGCTCCACCAGGAATGGGCAGGAAGTTTGCTGTGCCAGTTCTGTGCAGCTGGGCAAACATGTCGTTGACAAGAACCCTTCCAGTTTCCTCTCCACAACGCTGTGTGGTTCTTTTCGATTCGGTTCCTAACTCCCCAACAACTGACCTCCATCTTCCTTGACCGGGTCCAAATAAAACCCAGCACCGGGTCATCCCCCCCCTTCTTCCCAAATCTGACTCAGCAACTAACCTCCCCGGAGGGATCCGGACCCGACACATCCAACGCGGACCCTCTGCGCCAGGGGGCGGGGTTCGCCGTGTTGAAACTGTTGTGGAACCTGACCAACAGCTCCCCGGCCGTGCGCGGTGTGGCGGTGTTTTTGGCACGTTCTTTTTTTTGTGCGCGGTCGCGTTGTGCCGGTGGACACCCGAGGTGTCTCCGGATGGGAGCTTGGCCTCTGTATCTTTTACTTGCGTGCGGATTGGTCTATTTCTGGTGTGAAGCCACAAATACATGACCAACATGACCTGCAGGTAGATACTATTTAAGAAATCCAATCATGGAATTGGTGGTCTCTATATTATGTTTGATCTTGGATCCATGTTGAAAGGTCTGGTTGAACAAGAGTAGTCTCAGTAGGGGCGAAAGTGACCAAAAGGCCAAACAATCACCGTTTCAACGTCCGGAATTTGTTATATATGCTATTGTATATCATGTTTGCCCACTCGCCTCATATTCGCGCCTTTTCATGCAGTGAGC